TTTTATGGTTTTCATTGCAACCAAGGGAAATAGTCAGAGATCAAAACCGTTGTTGTTGTGTCTGAGTTTGTGTCAGTCATGACACAATGCCTGATGAAAACTATGACAATATCTGATGAATTTGCAAAATTATTGAAATATATCTATGTTTAATTCTCAAATTCTTATGATACTGTTTCATATGTTCTACAGCAAATGAACGAAATGTCTAAACAGTTAATACTGCAAGTCATCAATCAATCAATGTTCTCATGGTAAATAGGCACACAGTATCAGTCAATCAGTGGTACCCATGGATGACATCAAGTGATGGTGGTACCATGGATGACATCAAGTGATGGTGGTACCATGGATGACATCAAGTGATGGTGGTACACTGGAGGACATCAAGTGATGGTGGTACCATGGATGACATCAAGTGATGGTGGTACACAGAAGAGATCAAGTGATGGTGGTACCATGGATGACATCAAGTGATGGTGGTACACTGGAGGACATCAAGTGATGGTGGTACCATGGATGACATCAAGTGATGGTGGTACCATGGATGACATCAAGTGATGGTGGTACCATGGATGACATCAAGTGATGGTGGACCATGGATGACATCAAGTGATGGTGGTACACTGGAGGACATCAAGTGATGGTGGTACCATGGGTGACATCAAGTGATGGTGGTACACAGAAGAGATCAAGTGATGGTGGTACCATGGAAGACATCAAGTGATGGTGGTACACTGGAGGACATCAAGTGATGGTGGTACCATGGATGACATCAAGTGATGGTGGTACACAGAAGAGATCAAGTGATGGTGGTACACACAGAAGAGATCAAGTGATAGTGGTACCATGGAAGACATCAAGTGATGGCGGTACCCATGGATGACATCAAGTGATAGTGGTACCATGGAAGACAACAAGTGATGGTGGTACCCATGGAAGACATCAAGTGATGGTGGTACCATGGATGACATCAAGTGATAGTGGTACCATGGAAGACATCAAGTGATGGTGGTACCATGGAAGACATCAAGTGATGGTGGTACCCATGGATGACATCAAGTGATAGTGGTACCATGGAAGACAACAAGTGATGGTGGTACCCATGGAAGACATCAAGTGATGGCAGAAGAGATCAAATGATGATTGTACCATCACAGACATCAAGTGATGATAGTACCCATGGAAGACACCAAGTGATGGCAGTACACACAGAAGAGATCAAATGATGATGGTACCATCCTAGACATCCAGTGATGGTAGTACCCATGGAAGACACCAAGTGATGGCAGTACACACAGAAGACTGACTGACTGAGTTTGGTTTTACGCCGCTTTTAGCAATATTCCAGCAACATCACGGCGGGGGGCACCAGAAATGGGCTTCACACATTGTACCCATGTGGGATTCGAACCCGGGTCTATGGCGTGACAAGCCAATGCTTTAACCACTAGGCTACCCCACCGCCCCACACACAGAAGAGATCAAATGATGATGGTACCATCACAGACATCAAGTGATGGTAGTACCCATGGAAGACACCAAGTGATGGTGGTACCATGGATGACATCAAGTGATGGTAGTACCCATGGAAGACACCAAGTGATAGTGGTACGCATGGAAGACACCAAGTGATAGTGGTACCATGGATGACATCAAGTGATGGTAGTACCCATGGAAGACATCAAGTGATGGTAGTACCCATGGAAGACATCAAGTGATGGTAGTACCCATGGAAGACACCAAGTGATGGCAGTACACACAGAAGAGATCAAATGATGATGGTACCATCACAGACATCAAGTGATGGTAGTACCCATGGGTGACATCAAGTCATGGTAGTACCCATGGATGACACCAAGTGATGGCAGTACACACAGAAGAGATCAAATGATGATGGTACCATCACAGACATCATGTAATGGTAGTACCCATGGGTGACATCAAGTGATGGTGGTACCCATGGAGACATCAAGTGATGATGATACCATCACAGACATCACGTAATGGTAGTACCAATGGGTGACAGCAAGTGATGGTGGTACCCATGGAGACATCAAGTGATGATGATACCATCACAGACATCACGTGATGGTGGTACCATGGGTGACATCAAGTGATGGCGGTACCCATGGGAGACATCAAGTGATAGTGGTACCATGGAAGACATCAAGTGATGGCGGTACCCATGGAGACATCAAGAGATGGCGGTACCCAAGGAGAACATCAAGTGATGGCGGTACCCACGGAAGACATCAAGAGATGGCAGTACCCACGGAAGACATCAAGAGATGGCAGTACCCACGGAAGACATCAAGAGATGGCAGTACCCACGGAAGACATCAAGAGATGGCGGTACCCACGGAAGACATCAAGTGATGGTGGTACCCACGGAAGACATCAAGTGATGGCAGTACCCACGGTAGACATCAAGTGGTGGTAGTACACATGGATAACAGCAAGTGATGGTGGTACCCACGGAAGACATCAAGAGATGTGGTACCCACGGAAGACATCAAGAGATGGCAGTACCCACGGAGAACATCAAGTGATTGTGGTACCCACGGAAGACATCAAGAGATGGCAGTACCCACGGAGAACATCAAGTGATGGCAGTACCCACAGAGAACATCAAGTGATGGCGGTACCAGCGGATAACATAGCAGTATCCATGACTACCACAACCACAGTTCAGCAAGGTCAGCAGGTAGACTGACTACTGTAGAGATCCTGGCAGTAATTACCACTCTACAGCATTGGCTACACGGTAGCATCCAGAACATCTGGAAATCTCTTCCATATAATTACTCCCTTGTTTTTATCTGCCTGCATGATTTCAGCTGCAGTACATATTCTATTTTCTTCCAATCTAAATTCAATATCATGCATCAAGTGAGTAGGAGAAATAAATCTGAACAGTCATCACATATGCCAGCAGTTCTATTCCTGTACAAGGAATCAAAAGATGCCAATGCTAAATAGTCCACAGCCTTCCTACATGTGGGAAAATACGATATACAGCTGTACAGAGTGACCTGTAAACGACTATATACATACTGTATCATGGCAACACGTCCATACCCACTGGCCCTGAATAAGAACTTATATCATCACCAAGTGGTTGAACTGTGAATTCTCTTACGTTTTGTAATACGCAGAAATGACGAGAAGGGTTACTCTGTCTCGCCAGATTGTGTGCAGAATGTGTTCCCTTTGTATAGTAATGTAAAACATGTATGGATAAAGCAAACTCCTGATACCCCATTGCCAATGATTCATACTGAATCTATAATTGTCTGATGTCATTACTGTGTGTGGGAGAAAGTCAGCTGAATATTCAAATAAGGAATATACACTATACACTCTCCTAATGGGCAAGGTAGAATAGCGAGCTGAGTAGTCATCACACATTTCATCACAAGTAAGCAGGTCGTATACAAGTCACCTCTCCTTGATCATAGACTGCATTCTAGGTGGATAGTCAATTTCAAGTTTTCAACAAGAAAAGTAATTCCTGATTTCTTTATTCATCAGTAGAGGGCAATCTTCAGGATATCCCTGTGAAAAGTCACCTTCACTATCGTAGCTAGCAACAGCATAAACCTTAACACTAATGCTAATTATGTGGTGCCTGTTAGTGAGAGATATCCTACCTCTTTACAAACTGGTAATAGACACTATATGATCAGCTGACTATAAAGCCGTGGCACAATGCCAGGTAGGGGGGAATATAATCAGGAGGGGAGGACTATAATCAGGAGGGGAGGGGTAATGGTGCTAACATGAGGGATGGAGCTACCGTTGTCACCGCAGTGGCAGTGCTGGGAACAGGTACCTTGGAAACTCACAACTGTTTTTTATTGTTTCTTGGCATACAGAGTGCATGTTATAGCCTGTACTCCAATTTTATTTGCTTGAACATTTGCTTCCCTGGTTTGTAGTGACTGAGTGAGTGAGGTTTTATGCCGTTTTTAGCAATCTTCCAGCAATATCACGGCGGGGGACACAAGAACGGAGTTTCACACCTTGTACCCATGTGGGGAATCGAACCTCGGCCTTCAGCATGATGAGCGAACGCTTTAACTACTAGGCTACCACACCGCCCCATCCCTGGCTTATACTACTACTAAATAGTAGACTCACATACATTTCATCACTGTCTGAATTGTGGACATTGTGCACCTCATCTTTATAAATTACAAAAGTAATTGTACTTTCAATTGAAGAACTTCATCTAGTTCTCTGAAATCAAACAGCCAAATCATTCTCAACCTCATTTCAATTTCGCGTAAGGGATCTAAAAAACTATGTTTTTATTGATGAATAGAGGTCTTAAAACATGTTCTTGTAATGACACTTAAAAACAACAACAGGTTTTGAATGTATGCAGTCTTTATCCTGAATGCTCTATCCAGAGCCTTGAAGCACCTGTCAACTACCTGCTGATCTACCTTGTTCTCATACACCCTTTGGGAACATTGAATGTCAATCAAGCAACTCTTCAGACTTTTTACCTCTTCATGACTCACCTCAGTGGACAAAAACATGTCAAACATGCCATTGAGAAACATACATCAGTCACAGGCACACACTCATACACAGAAAGAAAGGATCTCAATCCATCTATTGCAAACTTAATTGACAGATTTAAGAGGAAATGTCACAACCAAGAGACATATGGGATGCAGGTAACACGTCAAGGGAGTTAACTCCTTCTATAGGTTGACGTCAATATTGTTTTTAAAAATGCAATAGTTTTGCTCAGGATATTGGGAAGCAATACTTTTCAGGATTTCCTTTTAATGTTGGATACAGGTCTCCTGAGGTGAGGATGAACAAGTTGATAATAAAGGGACATTCAATTGGATGAATTGATTATGATATCACAAATCATCCCAGAAAATTAAAGACATGTGGAACAGAATTGTTTGCAAATATTGTAAGTTATTCCATTTCTTCTTTGTTTTGAGCCGAATTGAGAAATTGAAGAATGAACTTACCTGAATATCTCTTCTCATCCTTGGATCTGGATATGACTCGGCCATCTTGAGAAATTTGTTCTTCCTGTGAATATTGATAAGAAACATTCATTCTACTTCCTGTACTCCAACGTTTGGCCATTGCAATATGATGGACAACCTATGTAATCAAGTCTGACACTATAACTGACACTGGACAGTGAGGGTGGAAGGTGACTTGGCCGGTGAAACCAGGAACTGCCAGAATCTTTGGGGTGGAGGCCGACACGGAAGTCAGTCCGCGGATCTAAAACTTGGATATTTGGGGGAAATGGCAGGAGTCGTCACCGGAGAAAAAACACGAAACCTTGTGATTGGGAAGACTACCACTTGTTGTGAGTGGTGTCGGTTTACAGCAGCCGATATACCTATGGTGGAAAGACAGAGTGGGTGTACCATTCGGCCTCTCTCTCACACAAACACACAGCCTCAATATACTGCCAAAATGGTAAACATGCATCTGTAAACAAATTCACAAAGGCTCAGCTCCCCTGAGGACTTGAAGCAGGTTTTAGATGAGGGTAGTGCTTGTACGATGTACATTGCAATGAAATGTACACAGTGATGCCCTGTCGCTGAGGTGTTATACAGGGGCAGCATGTTGGTATCAACAAGCTGGAAGAACACATAGTTGCAGCACTGCCAAGGTGGATCCTATACATGGAGATGCTATTTGGGCTTCCTTAGTGAATTTCTACATGCCCCGTTGTTAATGTGTATAGGCGGGTACCACTCTCTAACACTGCATGTGCTAAGCCTATGTTGGAGTGCAACCCTTCCTTCAATTATCACCGTCTTTCCACTGTGTGTTTTACCTGCACAATGTAAACATCGGTCTCAGGTAAGTCTACTTTGATTCACTTTTTACAGTTTCTAATTACTCTTCAGGTGAGTTTTAAAGTTCAGACGTGACAGAAATGAACACTAGCTAGGAACGATTGTAGTGTGTGCTTCATCAGTTGTCAAGGCAATACCCTAACCATTGGGTCCAGTGTCATTTACATTACTGTTCAAACTGACATTCACATAACTGACAAACTTCAAATAGTTAGACACTTTCATAAATACATTAAAACAAGCTTCTCCATCCAGATGATTTTAACTAAAATCATGAAAATATTAACATTTACATGCATCATTAATACAGTTTCTGAAGAACATATTATTTATAATTATGTTTCATCTGGATAGTTAATAATGTAAGATAAGTAGCATGCTTAAACGATCTTATTACGAATCTAAATTTCAATGCAAACTTTAAAAACAAAACAAACATCAAATGCAAAACAAACAGCAAAGCAACAAATTATAACTCCTGACAAAACCACACAGCTTATAGTGAAAAATGTTACTATGGCAACAAAGCAGACAGTGTTACAGACAGAGGCAGACATCCGCATGCAGAAATATACATGTTCATTGTAAACCCCACAACATCAGATTTCTGCAAACATCCAAATCTGTTATGTTTTTCTTTGCAAACAACATGTCTTTATCTGATATTTTGATTACACTAACTTTCTCAATAGAACAATATAAAGTCAACTAAAACCTCTACAAACTTATGTGGGGTGGTGGGGCAGTGGTTTCAGCATTTACTCTTAGTGCCTCCATGGCTCGAACATTGCATACACACCTATTTTGAAAATAAATATTGAGCACATAGTTTGAAGAAAAATCTTTCAAAGGTGTGTTTACCAACATGACATGCTCAAGATATAAAAGTTAATTATTTTTTAAATTAATTTTTCACAATTTTTTCTATATCCTAGTCAGTTGAATGTGGAGAGAAAAACTAAAATATGAAATATCATCAAATTTACACATGAGCATGGGTACGTGGATGATAAAGGGTAATAATCAGGTGTGATGTGTGTCATATCACCCATTTTACCTCCACAAATATGATAAATATTGATACTTTGATATGAATGATTATGATAATCTCACATTATGACTTTCTCCATGGACTAATGTTGTGTATATTTGTATTAAGAACCCAACAAACACATTTAGTTAATATTGGTATGATACAGGTATTATAATAACAGTGGTATACAACCACTGAACACTTGCTACGGGATTACACATAATACACACTAAGTACACATTAAATGATGGGACTAATATGATGATTTCATAGCAAGACTGACAAGAGATGTATGAGAAGATGTTAATTATAATGTTATATGACAAAAAAACAAAACAAAATTGTAAGAAAATTGTAAATCATTTGTACACAAATATCTTGTTTGATAATTCAGAATCTGTGAAAAATAATTTTTAATCAAAAGGTGTATTCACTGAAATCATAAATGTGAAAATCCACATATACTCATGCCAAAAATGGTTTTCAAACCCCCTCCCCCAACCCTACACAGGCCTCACACCCCACCCCAACCCCTCGCCAATTAAAAAATTGAAGGGGGTGACAACCATTTTTGGCATGAGTATATGAACATTATTCCCAAAACAAAGTTCGTTTGAAAATTTGTGAATAAAATTAACTCTTCTATCGACGGAAAAAAACAATGAAGTGAAATGGAAAGCACCCATTACAAAAGGCTGTGACACAGAAATAAATACCATGTATTGATGTAAATAATGACTATAAATGAATTGTGGTACACAATACAATGTTTTATATATTATGCATCTGATCACTATTACCCAGTTGCTTTAAGAGACATGCAGGCCTCAAGTCAAATGTAAAGGTTTACAGTCAAAGGGAGACAACTGAGATTTACAGTGCCTTGTGTGACATGAAACCAAAATGAGATTTTGAAAAGGCTTAGGCTGTAGTATCAAACTCAACGTCATTGAGTTAAATATCTAAATCAATCTGTTTGTCAGACCAATCAGTTCACACAAAATACATTTTTTATTTGATGGAAGCAACAGAATATTTTTCAGAATTGGTACATTTGAATTGCCTGGAAAATCTCACTCAAAGCAATGGATAATAATTTTCAGATGCATTACTTACGATTACCCGAGACGAGTGATAACTCTGTACATTATCTGATTGGTTCAATCGGAGTGAAGTCGTTGAGGTATATTCTGGAGGATTTGGGCTCGAGGGAGAGAGTGAAATAAACGACCTGGATCTGTAGGTCACCTGGGAGTAACACTCCACCATTAATACAATCCAACGGATGCACATACAACATTCTTCAGAACAACCCTTCATCTAAGGGGCTATACCTGTCTACTACTAGTGGTGGTGATGATGATGATGATGATGATGATGATGACAATAACGGTTAACAATGTTCAATCTGTTTTCCAGATGAGATCCTAAAACAGTACATGTTTTGAAGCATAATGCAGAAAACTAAACATATAAAAATATATTTATCATGAAATGGTAGAAACTGATCATTTAATTCTGACAATCCCTGCTTTGAACACTGAGATAGAATTACCTTATTCCTCGGGCTCTTTTCTTCCATTGACTGTTTCTCAAACAAGCTTTTTATTGCTTGGACGGACTTGCGACGATTCCTGAGATCATTCAAACTTGGGTCATGGAAATTTGATGTATTGTCCTGTACATGCTCAACAAGATTTGGCACTGACAACGAAAATTTAGAAATGTTTGTCTCCAAGTTTCTGTGGGAAACCTGTTTAGGTCTGAGTGTTTGAGACCTATGTTCACTGGATCCACCCAACACGCTGTCATCACTAGCCTTCCTGCCCAAACTGGCCACTCTCTCATGCACAGACGTTTCCAGGTGAATATCATCAAGAGATGTCTCATGGTTCTGATGAAAGTCTTCAGTATCACAGATTGTGTGGTCTGCCCGTTTAGCAGGAGTTGAGGAGGACAGGGCCACTGGAGTTTCTGTTCCAGAAGTTAGCAGATCAACCCTAACATGTTGGAGTGTTTCCTCATCCAAAAGACGACCACTGATTGTGTTATCCACTCCATTGCTTTTCATGGAATCTGAATTCAGTTCCTTGTCCTCAGTGTCTGTCTTTGGTTTGTCTCCATCTTCTGAGCACCTGTCATCATATTCATCAGTTTCACATGGTATTTCAGGAAGCGAAGTCACACCCTTTCCCTCTGTCTTTGGTATTTCTCCATCATCTGGACAACTGTCACCAAGTTGTTCATCAGTTTCCCCTGGTAGAGTCACACCCTTTCCCTCTGTCTTTGGTATTTCTCCATCTTCGGAGCAACTGTCACTGTTTGGTTCATCAGTTTCCCTGGTAGAGTCACACCCTTTCCCTCTGTCTTTGGTATTTCTCCATCTTCGGAGCAACTGTCACTGTTTGGTTCATCAGTTTCCTCTGGTAGAGTCACACCCTTTCCCTCTGTCTTTGGTATTTCTCCATCTTCGGAGCAACTGTCACTGTTTGGTTCATCAGTTTCCTCTGGTAGAGTCACACCCTTTCCCTCTGTCTTTGGTATTTCTCCATCTTCGGAGCAACTGTCACTGTTTGGTTCATCAGTTTCCCCTGGTAGAGTCACATCCTTTCCTTCTGCATCGCCAAGGCAAGGTACATCACTACCTTCAGCGTGTTGGCAGTTTCTGTCCCAGATATACACTGAAGTCTTTCTGTCAGTCCCGTCAGCATCAGCTGGAGCTTCTCCTGAGTTTCTGCCATCATGGCCATTGAACTCCTCTCTGTCCTTGAGGAGATCTTTGTCTATATCATCTTCTTGTTCTGTAATACTGACTGATGTTTCTGTAACCATGGACACAGTTTCAGTTGCAGAAACTGATTGTAATAATGTATCAACATCACCACCTTCAGAGAGTGTTGTAGATACATCTGTCAAAGCATATGGGTTGTCTACTACAGCAAAAGAGTTGCCACTATCTGGTATTGCATCTGTGTGAGGTATGACAGTTGTAAATGGTTCTGGAATGTTGGTGGATGTTGTTGCACTGTCTACAACATAACTGGTTCTAGTAGTGACAGTTTCTTCATGATTGTCCACTGCATCAGTCAGTCCTGATGTATTCTGGTGCATCGCTTCAACAGAAGCATCAGCCTCAACTGGAAGCCCTTCATCAGTGTCCTTGCCCTGCTCTGTAACAACACCAGACGTACCAACACTACACACACCCATGTCCATGTCTGACATATTCACTTGTTTCTTAATACTGGTCACTTCCCTGCTCTCATACTGACTGGGTGTGTTTTCTGAGGTATAATTGGTCTCCACTCTCTCCAAATGACTAGAAATCTGTCTACTCTCCTGTACATCTGTCACAATAAAACTGTCAAGTCTAGAAGCTGTTTCTTCATCTTCTATGGACTCCTCAGATGCATGTGTTGTCTCATGATCCATGTCATCCTTGTGTGCAACCTCATCGTCTTCTACTCCACTGGTGGAACTCTCTACAACCATGTCATCCTTGTGTGCAACCTCATCGTCTTCTACTCCACTGGTGGAACTCTCTACAACCATGTCATCCTTGTGTGCAACCTCATCGTCTTCTACTCCACTGGTGGAACTCTCTACAACCATGTCATCCTTGTGTGCAACCTCATCTACTCCACTGGTCTTCTACTCCACTGGTGGAACTCTCTACAACCATGTCATCCTTGTGTGCAACCTCATCGTCTTCTACTCCACTGGTGGAACTCTCTACAACCATGTCATCCTTGTGTGCAACCTCATCGTCTTCTACTCCACCAGTAGCACTCTCTACAACCACATCACCCTTGTGTGCAACCTCATCGTCTTCTACTCCACCAGTAGCACTCTCTACAACCATGTCATCCTTGTGTGCAACCTCATCGTCTTCTACTCCACCAGTAGCACTCTCTACAACCAAGTCATCTTTGTGTGCAACCTCATCGTCTTCTACTCCACCAGTAGCACTCTCTACAACCAAGTCATCCTTGTGTGCAACCTCATCGTCCTCTATTCCACTGGTGGAAACATCAGCCGTGACAACCAGAAGGTCGTAGTGACTGGACTCACTCCTACTGGAGACACTGAGATCATCCTGAACATCATCCAGGAGACTCCAAGAAACATCCTGCCCACTTGGACTGTCCATAACAATGGCAGAGTCCTTGGTCACATCAGTTTCATCGTCAGTCTTAATACTGTTGTTTGCCACAGACATGTCAAGTGTTGAACCCAGACCAGTGTCGTCATGCTCCCTATCATCAGCGCTGCATGAATCCCCATGTGTGTCAACTGATGCTACACTGCTCTCCATCTGAGAATCCTTTGACTTTGTAATCTCCCCTGAGTATATCTGACTGTCATTCCTAGAATCCTCCTCCAAATCTGTAGCCCCTATACCAGGATCCACACCTGGAGGGACAATTTGTCTCTCACAAACATCGTTGTTTTCTGTTGATACAACCTTTATGTATTTGTATTCAGAATGTTCATCATCATTAAAGTTTTTGTCTTGCTCTGAGACTGCAATATGTTTCCTTTTTGTACTCTCACTGTTTTCTAACACTGCTGTTTTCATGCTACTCTCTTCACTGTCACAACTCTGCCAATCCACATCACTGACAACATCTTTCTGTACACCGTATCCGTCTGAGTCCTCACAAAAGCTGTCTTGTGACAGGGTCTTCTCTTCTGAGTCTCTGTCACTTGACGTCATGGGATCCTCTGCATTCCTCATGGTGTGGCCGAACTCCTCACAGTGACAGCCCACCAGGACCACTGGCTTCATGCCCTCCTGCCACTGCTGTTCCACCCTCCGGGCCACGCCGATCTCCACCGTCACCTTACTTCTGGTATTTGCCATTTCAGATTTGCCATCAAGAGCAGGCATCTTCTGAATGTAAGCCAGGTAGACCAGGAGCTGCTGTATAGATGTCACCTGGTCAAATGTTTAGCTATCACTGTATGTCTCATGTGATGTGTGTGTCACAGTGAGCTGATGCTGGCCCTGGTTGGACTGGACTGACCAGCTCTCACATGCCTTGAAGGGAATGTCAACTTACATAACACTTATGTCATCTGCTTACAAACTGGGATATACGCTCCACTTGTTATGGGCTCATCAGTTGAAACTTAATGTCAGGCAATGAAATTGTAGACAAGTCTGTTCTATTAAAGAAACAAAAGGTAGAACTATTTCTGGGGAATGTTGATGATCAGGATGGTGTTACACGTATCTGACAAAACTCCAGCTACTGGCCTCAAGTGATATCCCATCACCTCCGCCGAGTCACTGTGACATAGACACACGGATGAAAACTAATATTTTCCTCTTTTCCCAGGCTTTTTATTTATGCAAGTTTATTTCTGATTGGCAGACGTCCATCACAGGATACCACAATGGGGCAGCAGGACACAGCTCTTCACCAGCTATAGAACAGGTAGGAAGTACTTCTCATTCACATCTTCTTCCACTGCACTAAACAGTTGACAATAGATGACTGGTCAATACATCATCAATAAGATCAGTGTGTACCTCCCCACGGGCGACTGGTTCACAATGTATCCTGAGTCGGTAATGGTACAACTCCAATATGTATCTCACATCAATATGTCCTCTTCATATAAACACTTCACATACTTCCCAGCTGTTCCAAGTCACCCTGCAATAGAATGGCCATTGTAGACAGTTACAAGACATTAACGCAACCACCCTGAACTGTTCACTGCAGTCTGTACCACTAAGGCTACATGTCGACCTAGACCCAGCTAGCATCAATGTTCACTGGTGGGAAATTAAGACCTAAGACTCTAAAGAATACAAGTGATAAGTGATAAACCTTCCATAATGTTCCCCAAACTGAAATTTACGTGCAATGTACAACTATGTTTATATTCAGCAAATGTCAATCAATATAAGCAGTAAGAAATGTGACCTATATAGCAACTGTAACATAGTAGACCTGAATTGTAAGTCACTTTCAATACAGAATTTGAATGAGAAAGAAAGCCAGCAGTCAGTACAGGCTAAGTCTGTCCGACAAACTTCCCGGTCTACACACCAGAGGATATACAAGCAATCCCAAACATACATGAAACAAACTGGCTGTGACAACTTGAAATCAACTGTCAGTTCAAACACGCACTCAGAAGATTAACATCTCAGGGGTTAATGCTGAACTTCCTCATTTATCAAATATCTTCACAGACTATTAGGTGTAGAATCCAAACCGGAACTTTGAACCAAGAAAGTCATTTTGTTTTATCTTCTCAAAATATATAACCATAAAATTTATGTAAAGCTATTCAGACTTGCATCTTTAGTAAAGTATATTGTAGTAAAGAATACAAAACATACTTTATTTCAGATTTACTAACAGTGAAATAGCTTCTCTACAGGCAAATCTATGGTTGAAATCTCCGAAATCAGTTCATTTACTTTTCAGAATTTCAGTTTCAAAATAACTGCGTTAGGTACTTTATGAGCTTTTGTATAGGCATAAACTTGGTCTAATCATTATATGTCTAAAATACCACTGATGCAGCATTCAATTTTAACTCACTTACTCTACAAAACATTTCCCCCAATTGCCAGCAACACATACAAGTAATTAATATACCTTGTACTCTATAGCTCGACACTGAGCAGCTATCTATATCAGTATAAAGTAGTAACAGATCTAAACCATCCACTTCTTCATATCAACCCAGTCACTGTTATAGTCCCTTGTTGTCGCTAGCACGTAGCTAAAGATCTATATCACCCTCGTGTCATCAGTGATGTAACCAATCTACTTGTCAACAGACACGTACATATCAACTTCACTCTCACCACAGGAGAAGGTTGTGGGCTGACACTACACGTTTACTTTACAACACTGTGCAAACGTTGTCTGCGAGGACAAATCTACAACCCATCCACAGTAGCATCAAGCAAGCACTAACCTCAACAAAGCCAGAAACATATATCTTGTCAATGTCAAATGACTTTTCTTGAAATGCGCACTAAGAAACCAAACCCATTATTTGAATACAACAAATTTAAGAAAAGCACAAACATTCTTCTGATCACTGTTTAGATAGACAGCAATATTAAGATGGCCTCAAAGAGACAGACAAACAAAAACAAATGTAAATATTGTTATAAAATACCTTGACAGTAAACATACTCCAAATAAACAAGCCAGTTTAAATTTCAAATGTTTGAAAATATTTAAATCATGAAAGCGGTGAAAGAAATGAGACACAACTACCTGACTACCTGAAGGACGACCACCATACTTCTTTGTTATGCCATCTGTTGGGATATTACACAGCAATACACAACATCCATCCTCTTCAAAACTCTCCAAACCCTTTACCAAGGCATGTGTTTTTATAAATAGCACCTGAACTCACTTAATAGGTACAGAAAAAGATTAGCTCTCAATTCACACACTGATCGTTTATCCTCTTACTGAAGAAAAGCCTAAGTTCTTCACATCATATTACATCACAAGATGTCCTGTCCAAGCTACAATGATATTACAGGGCAACACAATGAGTGCTACCTTTATTCTCCTCTGACAGCAATGCCCCTAACAAACCACACCTGATTGCAGGTATTGTCAATGCATGATCAGTGAAGCAAAACACTGCAGCTTGGCCCTTTGTTCAAACACAAATACTGAAATATTTCTTGAGTGAGAAATCAAATTAAGCTTGGCTTTTGTAGACTCTCAAATTTCACAAGTGAATGGGGTTGGTATTTTGAAAATATCTCAGTCCAGTTTACAGGTCTGTACTTTGCAATAGTGTTCTGCATGTCAGGAATGTCTGTCACCATGCTGGTTAGAGTTACCCCCCTTTACTCATTATTGAGTCACTGTGCTCTGGGGTAAATCTGTTTGCATGATTGTGCATCCATCCAGAACATGACCTTAAATAGTAATAACACACTGAGTAACCCTCTCAATGGAGTTAGGAATGTATATTCATTACTCATAAGGATATTATCCTTTTAAGAGATAATAACTAGTTACACAGATTTTAAATAATGTAATTACACAAAATGTAAATCTTTATTCCCAGATAATACTTGTGAATTCTTTTTTCTTATATTATCACCGAGACAAATTTAATGCTTTGATTGAGAAATACAAAAATGATATTAGCCCCTTGGAAAAGATGTTGGTTTATTCAATAGTAATGATCATGATGAGGTTTATTTGGAAGTCACTGGTATATGTTTCACCTGTACACAACATCTGATTGCCTTGATTAAATATTCACAAGCCTAAAGTGCATTTAATAAAATTCACCTGGATGATACGAAGCTCAACAGCAAAATATAGCCAAAAAGATACCAACAGTGGTGATAGTGTGGATAGTGGTGATAGTGTGGATACATGTCACACCAAGTGTGAGAAATGAATGAACATTTACTGAAAGCTTTCACGACATCATGATCGAAAACTCAAATTGTACTTTGAACTACAACATAACAAGTACCCCTAAAGTCACAGCTCATTGTCCAACATTGAATAGATAGCAAGGTCTCCTTGTCAAACAGGCTTCCATGAACACCATATATCGTCTCTTCTCAAATCCAGCACCACACATCGACTCATATCCAATCTGGTCTTGTCACTGGCCCTTACCACCTTTGCCATCACAAATTCAGGTTACAGACCACGGATGGGATGTTACCTCCAAACTGTGTGTTAAACTCATCACCGACTTAAAAAACAAACTTAAAGCTCATGGTCAGCTGCTCTGTCTCCAATCACACTCCAAACTGTTTGTCGCTTGTCATTTTTATCGTCTGTTTGTTGAAGGATTTGGAAGTGCTTGAAAAGCTTTCATACCATGCTGACTGTAGATTATAGCCCTGTTTTAAACTTTGTTCAAATACTTTCATTTATTCAGCCTAAAATATTCCCATGTCACAGTTCAGGTCAAAATACATTTCTAAAATTACATTTTAAAATAATTTACACATGTAATTACCAGCAAAAGGTATGGAACTGCTCTTAAGAAGTTCAATATTTACCTTTGTACAGCCGCACCGCCAGAAAGGGGGTGTGGCAGTGGCTGCTATCAGTCACATGACAATAGTTTCTATCCACTCTACTGCAAGTGTTGAGCAAGTGTAAAGCAAGTGTAATCACTTCTTATCAATATTATTATCAGTATATACATTGTTCATTATCTCACAACAGTCTCTACTATGAACAGAAAGATAAACAAAAAATATTATGTATTCATGAACTACACAAACCTATTTCTTTTCAGCATTTTATGAAAATATAAGCCATTTTGATTGGTAACTGTAGGTTTGATTTCCAAATTGTCAGTATATCTGATATATTTTATGTGTTTAGTTATGCTACATATCTAAAATCAATGTTTTCGGAACAGATAATACCCTTTTAACCGGTTTACACTCACACTCTGAAAAATCAAACAAAAAGATATTACCAGAAAACTGGACAAAGACGAAGCATTTGACTCATGATAGACATCCAAGCTTTAGCAAGAAAAAATATGATGATAATTAACCCTCTGATGAAGGAGACAGCAGAGTATCTCCTAGTCTAGACACTGTCTCCAACTACAGATGATTTCCTGAATAAATTGAAGCCAAAATCATCAGAATACAAATTCCAAATTAATCTGTGCAAACATGTCTGTTCTTTGCAAGGAGCCAATCAGGTAAGCCTTGGCAGCGTGTTCTTTGTTCCATTGTCTAGGTCTGCTTTGTTAGCCTGGCACAACCCTAGGACTGCCACTCTCAGGGGTAATTGAAAATGATCTAATGTATGATCTCAGTTTTCAATGCACTGTCATTAAGTTATTTTTTTTCTCAGGTCGTCGTAACATTTTGATGTAAAGCTTGGCTAATTATTTTGCAACAGAAAAGGAAGCAACTAAATGTGAAATTATGATTTACCTTTGCCACTATAGGTAAAAATACTGTGAATTATGAAACTATTGCAAAAACAGTGATCGATCTTTGTATGCATTAATAAGGATATGCATTTCATGTGGACACACCTGAGTGTATGTCAGGTTATATAAACAGTTTTGCATAGCCCCAGATGGTGTGACATTGTACGCTCATGGGTGGGATTGCTGCTCACGACGTCAACCACTGGTCCACTGACTCCCTCTTCCTACACATGTGCCCTGACAACACTCAGCAGCAAGAGTCATCCCTGACATCACCAAGCACCTGCAGCGACTGAGGACACTGCTGTCTCCCAAAGGGTGCATGGTGACCGAGGACACTGCTGTCTCCCAAAGGGTGCATGGTGACCAAGGACACTGCTGTCTCCCAAAGGGTGCATAGTGACAGAGGACACTGCTGCTACAAAAGGGTACATGGTGACCGAGGACACTGCTGTCTCTCAAAGGGTACATGTTGACCGAGGACACTGCTGTCTCTCAAAGGGTACATGGTGACCAAGGACACTGCTGCTACCAAAGGGTACATGGTGACCGAGGACACTGCTGTCTCCCAAAGGGTGCATGTTGACCGAGAACACTGCTGTCTCCCAAAGGGTACATGGTGACCGAGGACACTGCTGCTACCAAAGGGTACATGGTGACCGAGGACACTGCTGTCTCCCAAAGGGTGCATGGTGACCCAGGACACTGCTGTCTCTCAAAGGGTACATGGTGACCGAGGACACTGCTGCTACCAAAGGGTACATGGTGACCGAGGACACTGCTGTCTCCCAAAGGGTGCATAGTGACAGAGGACACTGATGTCTCCCAAAGGGTGCATGGTGACCGAGGACACTGCTGTCTCCCAAAGGTACATGGTGACAGTATGAGTTGTTACATTAAATCAGCGATCTGTACTTACTTTCAGCACACTGCCACTAAACTGGCGTCTAGACATGAAATTTGGTCAACTTGATCTACACAACTATCAGATTGATTCATCCTCCCCTTGGCTAGTCTTCTTGCTTGGAAATTGTTCAAACTCCCGAAAAGGTCAATTGGTCTGGGTCCAGCAAACAGGAAGCTCAACTGGCTGGAGGCTCAACTCACAGCAACAAACTAACAACCGTCATGCACACTTCCAATAAGGTATCCATGCAGTATGCCTGTACAAAAGTCTCAAACATAAATGTAGACTTGCGATAGTTGTATTGCTTAGAACATTTCTTTTCCATAACATCACTACCCCAGTAGAAGAAATTAGCCATGTCCATTCATGAATGCTTGAAGGATTGATTAACCATCATCCCATACAGTGATGGTGGAGCAGTATGGTACTTGGCTACCATACTTACTTGTCTCCCCTGATCAATGTCACGTTGTCCTTGAGAGTACAGCAGTTTGTGATGGAACCCAACACACAACTGGGGACATCAATAGACAAGGTGCTCCAAATTATTTATCCCCTTCCCTTCTGTGGGTGTTCTGTGATCGGCACACGATTGCAGGAACCTAACGCAGCTGGCATGGTCAATCAATGGCCTTCAGTGATCAGAATCTCCTCACCACCTACTTCTTCACCGTGATCAAGGCCTCCATGCTTGATCCACGGCTCGAGGAAGGAGTGAATGCTGACATGTCAAACAATTTAGGAGAACTGCATCAATCCATCTATTCTGCAGCAGTGTGTAAATCCTTCTTTGATGGGCATTTACAACTTCTTTTATTCTGTGGAGGCGATGTTTTGACATAGATTCTAAATCCTGTAATCAAATCTGGGGGTGGTGAACCAGTGGTTGAGAGCAATGGATTCAAGTCACCACATCACAAAAACACAAACTGTCTAGCTTAGCCATTGTAAAGACCAGTTCCCCTCTGTCGACTGCCCACCTACTATTTCCGGAGAAGCCCCTGAAGTTTAAACTATCTGATGTTCTTCAAGAATATACTTTGATAACAAAGAAGTAAGTTTTAAAAATCATTCATAACAAACACTGAAGTGGCTGATAGTTGCCATCAAGTATCAATTCCATCCACCCAACAGGCCTACAGCATCAATTCCATCCACCCAACAGGCCTACAGCATCAAGTATCAATTCCATCCACCCAACAGGCCTACAGCATCAAGTATCAATTCCATCCACCCAACAGGCCTACAGCATCAATTCCATCCACCCAACAGGCCTACAGCATCAAGTATCCATTCCATCCACCCAGCAGGCCTACAGCATCAAGTATCAATTCCATCCACCCAACAGGCCTACAGCATCAATTCCATCCACCCAACAGGCCTACAGCATCAAGTATCAATTCCATCCACCCAACAGGCCTACCCAAACAGGCCTACAGCATCAAGTATCAATTCCATCCACCCAGCAGGCCTACAGCATCAAGTATCAATTCCATCCACCCAACAGGCCTACAGCATCAAGTATCCACCCTGGATAAATACCGACTAGGACACTTACTGACCTGGCCCACTGTTGATCCTACAGACTGACGACCATCTATTTGTCAGCATGAATCAATATAACACCTGTCTGTTAGTGATATATCAATCCAGCATCCAGACCCTGGTCAGTGTGGAATGCCCTGGGGTCACTGGAGGATACAGTGGTAGAAGTAGCACACCAGTGATCCTCTCTCAGGTCATGTGTTCAGTGTACAGTCTGAGATGTTCTGTTCAATGTACAGTACACAAATATACCAAATAACAGTATTCACAGCTGCCATGCTTGGCAACAATGTGTCCAGTAACAGCTATGCT